GCATGAAGTTTGTTCCCCTTATACGCATTTAAAAATTATTTTAAAAAATCTGAATCCTTTGCTCCAGAACAAAGCAGAAATGTCTTAGGTGTTCATTTGCTTCTCTCTGGGGAGCACTTGCCTAGTCATTGCCTTCAACTTCTGTGACATGAGACTGCCCTGGGCGCCTTCGTGGCTTCTTTTTAATTATTTATTTTTATATGTGATTAAGTAATCATAGATAAATTTTCTTAATTCATTCTGTCTTGTAAGTCAAATAAATATCTAGATCATACATCATATCAACATTTAATAAAACATAAATTCATTTTGTTTTATTTTATTTTTTAAAAGAATTATTTTATTTATTTGAAAGAGGAATTACAGAGAAAAGTAGAGCCAGAGAGAGAGAGAGGTCTTCCATTCTGCTGGTTCACTCCCCAAATGACCGCAACAGCCAGAGCTGAGCTGATCCAAAGCCAGGAGCCAGGAGCCTCCTCCAGGTCTCCCACGGGGGTGCAGGAGCCCAAGGAGTTGGGCCATCTTCTAATGCTTTCCCAGGCCATAGCAGAGAGCTGGATTGGAAGAGGAGTAGCCAGGACTCATATGGGATGCCGGCGCTGCAGGCTGGGGCTTTAACCTGCTGCGCCACAGTGCCGGCGCCTATAAATTAAATTTTTTAACAAAGTGCAAGTTACTAGTTGGTCTGCAGCGTTCATGACCTTCCTTCGACTGGTCAGCGATATGGATCCTTTAGGGATTTTGATGCTGGCACGGTGAATTTCTGTTAGTTTGGAGGTTACAGGCAGCTGGTGCTTTTGTGCTCTGGGCTTGGAGTCCCTGGAAAAGAAACTTCAGGAAACAAGACCAGATATCAGGATGCAATCTATGACCTCATGAGTCTGATGATTAGAACCTTGCAGACTGCACCACACCCTCCATTCTGTGAATTAATGTTAAAAGAAAGTTGATTATCAAAAGCTGGGGTAGAAACCCTTTAAGCTAATGGAGGAAGGCTGGGAGGTCATGAAAGACAAAGGGCCTGATGGTATCTCACAGGGGCATTCAGGGCAGGGCTTAGGGGCTGGGTTTCAGTAGCAACAGACGTTAATCTGTAACATATTATCACAATAGGGAAAAAAAGTTCAGTGTGAACAGAAGTCTACTTCCCTGGGTACTGAGGCACCTGCACCTTTTAAAGGGAGAATGAGGGATTAGGGAAGGGGATGGGTAAGGGGCTCAGCAGGAGTCAGGAGGGTGAGAAGTTAGGATTAGAATTTGTGAAAGCTGTCTGGGTTTGTTAACTGGCTCTGAAGGCAATTTGTGATGTGACTCCCACAGAGGCTGGGAGACAGGAACCCTATCTTCAGATGCTGATTGGAACAGCTAAACACCTGGCAAGCCAAGAGTTTTCTCAAGCAGGTACTTTGGAAGAGGGTGCAATAGGGTCGACCTAGGGTTGCAGCTTGACGCTACTAGAACCTCTGTTCATGCTTTGTTCATTTGTACAGCTGAAGAAAGTTTAGAAGCACCTGGGTGGAGTTTGGTCAAGGAGAGAATCTTCAGTGTTAGGCTCCCTGGGAAATTGTTTTGCATAACACTCATAAGACTAAATATTTGTTATATATTACCTGGTAATTACACTTTAAAATTAGGTAACATTTCCCCCTCCCCTATGTTTTTTAAGCCTTTTTGAATCTTATTTGCACCAATATTTTGAAAGAGCAAGGGAGCAGAATTAAACAGCCTTCCATCCTCCCTGCCCTGGTGAGCTTTCTGAACTGTCTCTTCACTGCAGCAAACTCTTTCGCAAGGTTTTCCAAGGTTTTGATATCAGAAGTCAAAGTTCCCAAATATGAAACCTGGGTCAAGGTTTCTAAAGTAGCCCATTCCAATCAACCAACACATATTTATTGAATATCGATTGGACTTAGTGCACTGAGATATGGAGGTCATAATGCGGTTTGGAAAAAAAAGAAGCAAAATATACACAGTTGGTTTTTTCAGTTTGCAGTTCCTAGAAGTAGTGAAAGAGGTGACTTGTTCTTCCTATCTTTATGTTAGAAGTTTTTACTATCAGGGTAGGCATTGTACTGCAGCTGATGAAGCTGCCACTTGGGATACCAGGTCTTTCCTGCCCCTTCTGATCCAGGTTCCTACTAATGCACTTGAGAGGCAGCAGATAATAGTTCAAGTACTTGAGTCTCTGCCACCCTTGTAGGAGACCCAGATGGAGTTCCTGGCTCCTGGCTTCAGCCTGGCTCAGCTCCAGCTGTGGTGGGCATTTGGGGAGTGAACCAGGGCATGGAAGATCTTTCTGTTGCTCTGATTTTCAAATAAATAATGAATAGTGGCCAGCGCTGTGGCACACTAGTCTAAGGCCCCGCCTGCAGTGCCCGCATTCCATATGGGCATTGGTTTGAGTTCTGACTGCTTCTCTTCTGATCCAGCTCTCTGCTAGTGGCCAGGGAAAGCAGTGGAAGATGGCCCAAGTGCTGCACCTGCATGGCAGACCCGGAAGAAGCTCCTGGCTTCAAGCTTTGGATCGGCCCAGCTCTGGCTGTTGTAGCCATTTGGGGAGTGAACCAGCGAAGACCTTTCTCTCTGCGTCTCCCTCTCTGTGACTTTGTCTCTCAGGTAAATAAATAAAGTGTTTTTTAAAAAAGATTTATTTTTAAGTCAGAGTTACAGAGAGAAAGGGAGAGAGAGAGAGAGAGAGAGAGAGAGAGAGAGAGAAGTCTCCTATCCATCCGCTGGTTCACTCCCCAAATGGCAACAACAGCCAGAGCTGAGCCTATCCCGATCTGAAGCCAGGAGCCAGGAGCTTCTTCTGGTCTCCCACGTGGGTGCAGGGGCCCAAGCACTTGGGCCATCTTCTACCGCTTTCCAAGGTCACAGCAGGGAGCTGGACTGGAAGTGGAGCAGCTGGGACTAGAACCGGTGGCTATATGGGATGCTGGCGCTTCAAATGGCGGCTTTACCTGCTACACAGGGCCGACCCCATAAATAAAATCTTCTTAAAAAAAGAAAAACCCTTTGTTTAAATGGACTTCTTGCTGTCTCTCAAACATGCCAGACATTCCTGAGCCTACAAAGTTTTTTCCCTAGGTACACATATGCTTTAGTTCAAATACCAGCTACTCAGTGAAGCTTACCCTGATCACCTATTTAAAATTGCAGCCCATTTCCCATTTCTTTCATTCCATTATATATATAACATCATTTACTCTTTTTTTTTTTTTTTTTTTGACAGGCAGAGTGGACAGTGAGAGAGACAAGTCTTCCTTTTTTTCTGTTGGTTCACCCCACAATGGCCGCTGCGGCCGGTGCACTGCGCTGATCCGAAGGCAGGAGCCAGGTGCTTCTCCTGGTCTCCCATGCGGGTGCAGGGCCTAAGGACCTAGGCCATCCTCCACTGCCCTCCCAGGCCACAACAGAGAGCTGGACTGGAAGAGGAGCCCCGACCGGGACTAGAACCTGGTGTGCCGGCGCCACAGGCAGAGGATTAGCCTAGAGAGCCATGGCGCCGGCCATCATTTACTCATTTATTCTAATTATCACTTTTCTCCACTAAAATGTCAGTTTCTTTGTAGCAAATAAAAAAATGTTTTATTCACTGATTTTTCTTAAGCACCTAGACCATTGCCTGCCACCTAGAAGAAACCCAAATATTTGTCCAATGAATGATTTTTTTCGTATCCAACTTACTGTTCTTTATGCTTATATGCTAGTGTTATTTTTATTTTGGTTTTGGGGGGCCCAGGTTAAAACTGGCCCGTTTGAAGATTTGTTAACATATCATGTCTCTTTTTCTCCGGATATGTTGGCAAATCAGGTAAACAATTTAGTTTCAGCTTGATGTCATGGACTTCATGGGATCAACATGAATGACTCCATTTTGGTTTGATCTGTTGTGCCTGGTGCAGGAACTTTTCAATAAGCTCTATTTTAAACGTCTCATTAATTTTTGTCTTTTGGGGCTGGTGCTGTGGTGTAAGTGGGTAAAGCTGCCACCTGCAGTGCTGGCATCCTATATGGGTACCGGTTTGAGTCCCGGCTGCTTCACTTCTGATCCCGCTCTCTACTATGGCCTGGGAAACAGAAGATGGCCAAAGTCTTTGGACCCCTGCACCCGTGTGGGAGACCCGGAGGAAGCTCCTTGTTCCTGGCTTTGGATCGGTGCAGCTCCAGCTGTTGGGGCCATCTGGGGAGTGAACCAGCGGATAGAAAACCTCTTTCTCTCTCTCTCTCTGCCTCTCCTTCTCTCTCTGTGCAACTCTTTTACAAAATGAATAAATCTTAAAATTTTCTTAATCTTTTGCTGTTGCAAATTCATGTTCTGGTTTTAGGCAAACGGGAGAAGACAGAGTTTTCCTTGAATCTGTCTTCTTAACTGTCTTCACCTTGAACTAATCCTACGTCCTAGAGGCGCGTTTTGGGGGTGGCACGATTTGGTCTCCTGCAATATTCTACTTTTATTCGAGTCTGGCACTGCTATGCCACTTACTTCACAGGGAGCCGCCCCATCCCCAGGCTCCCTCATTCTTCTGTTCAGGGAGCACGAGATGCCCACTGGTCCTTGGGACACCGATTTCTCTCAGGCAATTGTCCGTTGGTCCTTTCTGACGGCGACTGGCTGCGGACATTCTCCGAGGAGGTATGACTATAGGGATAAGAGGGCAGGAGTGAAGAAAGGAGGTGTTTCACCCGGACCGAGAGGACCAGAGGCCGAGAGCCTTTGACGTCTTCGGGAGGAGGGTGGGCTTCGGGAAGGCGGGGTGGGCGCGGTGGGCTAGGGCCCGGGCAAGGGCGGGGTGGGGAAGAGCCAGGCTGGCTTGCGCCCGGCCGGGGCGGGGTTTCGGTGGACGAGGTTGGAGGACAGCGAGGTCCCGGGGGCGGAGCTGTCCAGGGGGCGGAGCTGTCCAGGGGGCGGAGCTGTCCTGGGGCGGAGCTGTCCAGGGGGCGGAGCTGTCCTGGGGCGGAGCTGTCCTGGCGCGGAGCTGCCCTGGGGCGTGGCTGTTTGGAGGCGAGGCCGGCGGAGCGCGCAGACGCAGCGCGGCGGGAGCATTGCTGAGCGCAGGCGGCTGAGTGCGGTGCTCTCGGAGGCCATGGGGCGCGTCGCCGGGGAGCGGTTCCCGTCGTTGTTGGGGTTGTGGCTGCTGCTGTGCAGCTGGGGGTGCCCTGGGAACGCCGAACTGCGGGCCCCACCGGATAAGATCGGTAGGTGGGCGGGAGGAGCGTTGGAGCGCTCCCGCGCCGGGTGGCCGGCGCGTAGTGTGCCCAGGCCCCGCGGCGCGACTCAGGACGGGCCGAGTGGGCCGGGTTGGCGCGCAGCTCGCGCTCCTGCAGCTCACGCAGCGGCTTTCGGCCTCCCTGCTGACGGGAGCATTCCCTCCTGGGGCGCAAGGAGCCGCTGACATGAGGCATGGACAGGCGCCGAGCGTCCCCGAAGCCTCCCGTCTCAGACCCTGGGGCTCCGGAGAGGCGAAAACCCCTCAGCGCTCTCCTTTCCTGCGCTTTTGGGTGGCCAGTGTTCTGGCTGATCCTGGAGGGTCCAGCCGTGGACGCACATCTCAGGCGTGCGCAGGCACAGCGCGGGGAGCGTCCACACAGCTGGCCCTGTCCGCTTCCCTGTTGAGGCTGCAACCCCCTCCCCTTCCCCCATCCCCACTTTGCTGAGGTCTGCCCGCTAGCAGGGGCCCCTGCTTGCAGTTTCTCTGCCTAGGACTGCAGCTGCCAAAGGAATCTGTTTTTCCTCTAGGTTCAGTCGCCTTGGTTTTTTTACTCCTCGGTCCCTCTCCCTCTCCCATTTAAAGCTGTGTTCTTCGGGATCATTACCCTCTCTCCATTGACTCTCCAGCGAGAGAGAACAAAGCTAAGGAAAAATGGCGGTCCCTTTATGGAAGGTGTGTGTTGTAAAGGCCCAACACTACTCTTCCCATATATTGGGCACTAAGAAAGGTGCGCAGGCCAATCGGTGCCTCCACAAAGACCTATGAGAATCTGGGCATCCGGCCCGGAGGAAAAAAAAAATCTACAAAATCAAATTAACGTTAGTTTGTAAACCAGTCTGTGTTCAGCTTCTCAGCTTTCGTCTGGGCACAGAGTTTCTTCTCCCCCTTCCCTAAATTATTTTAGGTGATAGTTTCAGGTAACCTGTGTAACCTTTTGAAAACCACGCTAAAGCAAACACACAGCAGGTGGGAGAAGACCGCTGTTCCTTTTTGTTCCCCCTCACAGCCATCATCGGAGGAGGAATCGGTGGCACTTCAGCAGCCTATTACCTGCGGCAGAAATTTGGGAAAGATGTGAAGATTGACGTGTTCGAGAGAGGAGAGGTGGGGGGCCGTCTGGCCACCCTGAATGTGCAGGACCAAGAATACGAGGCGGGGGGTTCTGTCATCCATCCTTTAAATCTACACATGAAGCGTTTCGTCAAAGACCTGGGTGAGTGATTTTGGTCTCAGAGCGAAGCGGATTTTTGGGTGACCATGGTTTGAACCCGTGCAGCACTGGAACTTCACTGCCTTGGAAATGAAACGTGCACAGAGAAGTTGGTGAAACTGTTGGCTGCACTTTGCTGAGAGCAGCCGTTACTAGTGGCTTTCCTGTAATGGAACACTGGTTATCTGTATCTTCAGTTATCTGGAATTACAGCCATGAGACGGGGGTGGGGATGGCTGCTGTTTGTCAAGTCTTTTTTTTTTTTTTTTTTTTTAAGATTTATTGATTTACTTGAAAGGCAGAGTTACACAGAGAGAGAGAGAGAGAACTGCTGATTCACTCCCCAAATGATCACAACCCCTGGAGCTGGCGTCCCAGTTGTGGGTGCAGACATGGACACCTGCCTGCTGTACTGCCAGCCCAGCGGCCGGGCAGGTCCTGGAGGAAGTCTTGGCAGGCTTCTGCAGGTCCTCTCCTCAGGGGACATTGTGTCATTCTGGCCTCTTCCCAGTTACCTGAAACAGCCAGTAGGCACAGCCAGCTTCCAGCCTCTGCCTCTTTTCCCGGCAGCAGCTCCTGCTTATTTTTAAAGATTTATTTATTTGAAAGGCAGAGTGACAGAGAGAGAAGGAGAGACAGAGAAAAGGATTTTTCCGTCTGCTGCTTCCTCTCCAAATGGCTACAACAGCTGGGGCTGGGTCAGGCTGAAGCAGGAGCCCGAACTCCATCCATGTCTCCCACGTGTTGGCAGGGGCCCAAGGAATTGGGCCATCTTCTGCTGCTTGCCCAGGCGCATTAGCAGGGAGCTGGACTGGAGTTGGAGCAGCCAGGACTCCGTCTGGCTCTCTGATATGGGATGCTGTTGCCAGTGTAATCTGGTGCACCACAATGCTAACTGCCCCCCAACCCCACCCCAAAGTGGCCAGTAGCGTCTTAGATCCTTGGTGATGCTTCGTGTGTTTCCGTGTCTTTCATAACCAGGAGCAACTCATGGCAGCAAGATTCATGGACATTTTTATGTTTTGACTGAATGCCATTGGTCCTCTGGCTTCTTCCTGTGACTTTTAAATCTTTTTGGACATTGTTAACAATAGCTAGTCTGATTTTGGTATAGCTGCATGATCATCTGACCCATCTTGGAGACAAGCTGCTTTTGGACAGTGTGGCGGGTGTCCGGTGTGTCTCACTGTTTGAAAGACAGCACTCCTGACCACTGGGGAAACCCCAAGTCCACTCCTTTCAGGGTGTCCCCGGGAGCTTCGGATTCCTTCTTTCACTGCATCGGCACAGAAACTCCTGACGTGGCCGCCCCTTCTGTGTTACAGGTCTCTCTACTGTCCAGGTGTCTAGTGGCCTGGTGGGAGTGTACGATGGAGAGGCTCTGGTTTTTGAGGAGAGCAGCTGGTTTATTATTAACATGATTAAACTCATTTGGCGCTATGGATTTCAGTCCCTCCGAATGCACATGTGGGTGGAAGACTTACTGGACAAGTTCATGAGGTAATGTTCCCCTGTCCGTTTAACTTAAGACCTGTTGGCTGGATGCGCTTCAGAAATTTTGGTTTCTTGGAACGGTGCTCTGCCTAATTGCAGCCCTGTCCGTGAGATAGTTAGGCACATGTTTTATGGAAAATACACAGACCATTTATCTACTTGGAAGTTGAAAGGACAGTTTATTTTTGTTTCTGAAATCTATTTTGCAAATGCTTCTTTAGTGTGGCCAGATGCTCTACAGATCCTAAGTCACTGAATACTCAGGACAATTTCTCAGGTAGGTCTTGTTACCAGTTTCTTTATACAGCAGTGGAAGATGGAGGTATCCAGAGATTTTTTTTTTTTTTTTGAAATTTTTGTTTATTTTTATTTATCTAAAAGACAGAACTATTGAGGGAGAGGGACAGAGACAGACTGAGATCTTCCATTTGCAGATTTACTCCCCAGATGCTGGCAATAGCCTGGGCTGGGCCAGGCAAGAAGTCAGGAACTTGAAACTAATTCCAGGGGCCCGTGCCGTGGGGTAGCGGGTAAAGCCGCCACCTGCAGTGCAGGCATCCCATATGGGCTCCAGTTTGTGTCCTGCCTGCTTCACTTCTGATCCAGCTCTCTGCTATAGCCTGGGAAAGCAGTGGAAGATGGCCCAAGTCCTTGGGCCCCTGCACCCATGTGAGAGTTTCAGAAGAAACTCCTGCCACCTGGCTTTGGATTGGCCCGGCTCCAGCCATTGTGGCCATCTGGGGAGTGAGCCATCGGATGCAAGACCCCTCTCTCTCTGCCTGTGCCTATCTGTAACTCTGCCTTTCAAATTAATTAATTAATTAGTTGATTAAACAACAAAAAAGAAACTAATTCCAGTAGGGGTTGCAGGTACATTGCACTGACCGTCTGCCCCCAGCTTGTCACTTTTCAAGAAGGGAGGTCGTCTGTTGCCACGTGCTCAGCAGGCAGATCAAGTTCAGATGGCAGTGGGTGCAGCCCTACGTGTGTGCGTCATTTTTCTTTCCTGTGGCTTGTAGAGTAACTCTTACAAGTCAGAGCCCTTTGAGAAGTGAAGAAATTACTTTTGAAGAGAGCTCAGGTTATTACAGAACTGTGGAAAAGACACAGTATGAGTGGCTACACAGACTATACCATTTTTGATTTTAGAAACTTTCCCAAATGTTATGGAATCATTGCCTTTCCATCTTTAATACTTTTATTCTACAGCACTGACCTTTCTGTTGCTAATGTTGCATCCTAAGTTCCTGTTTCTTTAAACACATCAAGGTAATGTCAATCTTGTAATGTGGTCATACTGTGAGATCGTTGGAGAGGAGGTGGGTGGGGTGGGTGTTCAGCCCGCCGGCAGCAGTTGTTCAGAGCAGTGAAGACACTGCCAGACTGAGCTGTGGCCGCTGTCCTGAGCACCCAACTCAAGAGGTCTGTCCTGTGCCTGCCCCAGCAGGGAGTCTGCTTTCTGTTTTCCTGCTGTACTGCTGGTCAGATGTCTTTAATATCAGCCCATGTTGGAGTTCATTCTAGAACATCACAAAAACCAGGTTTGGAAGCCAAAGAGGAATCTGGAACAGCTAATTCCTCTGCATTTCAGTTAAATAGTAGTGGTTTTATAACCCTGGCTACACATTAGAATCACATGGGGATCTTTTAAAAAAAAAATATGAATGATGAGCCCCATCCCTAGAGATTTTGAGTTAATTATTCTGGGGTAGAGGTCTGGGCATTGGTATTTTGAAAGGCCTGTCAAATGGATTTTTGCTTGCAGCCATTGTTAATAGCCACTGAATTAAAATATACCATTGGAAGATATTCATGAGTTTTTCTTTTTTTGAATGGTGTAGAAACCCAAAGGTTTTGATGAAAGGTTGTCTTCTCTTTGGGTGTATGGGTTTACGAGACAGAGCCAGTCAGTTCCTTGAAAGTGGTGTGCATGAGCTTCTGTGGAAACATGTGAAGGACTTGGCCAGCCTTGGGGAGGCAGAGTGTGCACAGCGTGAGTGGAGGCACACATGATAGTGGTAAGCCACACATTCAGAGAGCATTCAGGCCTGTGATAGGCAACTCCCGGGGCAGGCATTCACTCTTCTCTGCTGCCGGAGGTTCTTGGGTGGAAATTCTGTAGCCCCCGACATCCACGCTTGCCAGATTAATTTCCAGTTCTTTCTTTTAAAAAAAAAAAAATTATTTTATTTATTTGAAAGAGTTACAGAGAGATAGAGATAGAGAGTCTTCTTTCCACTGGTTCGCTCCCCAGATGGTCACAATGGCCGAACTGAGCCGTTTCGAAGCCAGGAGCCAGGAGTTTGTTCTGGGTCTCCCACGTGGGTGCAGGGGCCCAAGCACTTGGGCCAGCTTCAACTGCTTTCCCAGGCCACAGCAGAGAGCTGGATCGGAAGAGGAGCAGCCAGGACTAGAACTGGTGCCCATGTGGGATGCTGGCGCTTCAGGCCAGGGCTTTAACTTGCTGTGCCACAGCGCCGGCCCCAGTTTCCAGTTCTAAGCATTGATTTCTGCAGTTCTTCTGGTTGGGTGTCATCCTTTTTTTTTTTTTTTTTTTAAAGATTAATTTATTTGAGGCAGATTTACAGAGAGAGTGAGTGGAGGGGGGAGAGAGAGAGATATCGTCCATCCACTGGTTCATTCCCCAAATGGCCTCAATGACTGGAGCTGGGCAGGTCTGAAGCCAGGAGCCGAGAGCTTCATCCGTATCTCCCACATGGGTGACAGGGTCCCAAGCACTTGAGCCATCTTCCACTGCTTTCCCAGGGACATTAGCAGGGGGCTGGATAGGAAACAGAGCAGCTGGGACTCAAACCGGTACTGTATGGGATGCTGGTGCCACAGGCAGTGGCTTTACTTGCTGTGCTACAGTGCCAGTCCCAACAGGTAAGATTCACAGTGAAAGGCTTCCTTCTAGCTAAAAGCACCGGTTTTATTCTTTTATTTAACAAATCCAGTCTGTCTTGAACCCTATCTGGCTTTAAAATATGTCCAGAATTTCACCACTTCTCACCATTACCACTGCTGCCTGTGTGGCCCAAGCTGCTATTCCCTTTGTCTGGCTGTTGGTGTAGTTGTCTTCTGGGATAGACTGAACAGTGCTGCTCCTGCCCCACTTGCCCCAGCCGTCCACATCCTGATCCCCGGAGCCTGGAAATGTGCTGCTTTCCATGGGAAAGGGATTTTGCCAGTGGGCTTGGGTAAGATCCTGAGATGGGGAGACTATTTCTGCTTAAGGAGGTAGGCCCAGTGAAACCAGACGGTTCCTTGTAAGAGGAAGGCAGGAGGATCAGGCCGAGTGGGAGGTATGCTGATGGGAGCAGGAGGTGAGAGTCATGCTTGGAAGGGATGTGACCGTAGGAGCTGAGCGATGCAGGAGGCCTGAAGCAGCTGTAAGGGGCCAGAAAGCAAATTCTTCCCTCAGAGTTTCTGGAAGGAACCAGCCCTGCAGGCACCTGGATTTTAGTCCAGTAAACTTGACTTTGGACCTTGATCCCACAGAAGCATCAGATAAGTTAAGTTTGTGGTCACTGGTTACAACAGCGGTGGGAAGGTAAATCCGCCTGCTAGGTTATTGCCCTTCACCCTTGGGCTACAACGGTCTTTTCAGGGTAGAAGCCAGTATCATTATATCACAGCCTTTTGTTACCACAGTGAAATAGCTGAGGCAGTGGACATGGTAAACAGAAAAGGTTTAGGCCGGCGCTGCAGCTCACTTGGCTAATCCTCCGCCTGCGGTGCCGGCACCCTGGGTTCTAGTCCCGGTCGGGGCGCCGGATTCTGTCCCGGTTGCCCCTCTTCCAGGCCAGCTCTCTGCTGTGGCCTGGGAAGCAGTGGAGGATGGCCCAAGTGCTTGGGCCCTGCACCCACGTGGGAAACCGGGAGGAAGCACCTGACTCCTGACTTCGGATTGGTGCAGTGTGCCAGCCACGGCGGCCATTGGAGGGTGAACCAATGGCAAAGGAAGACCTTTCTCTCTCTCACTGTCTAACTCTGCCTGGCAGGAAAAAAAAAAAAAAAGAGAGAGAAAGTTTAGCTGAAGTCCAACATCAGACAGCCCCTTGGTTTGACCTCTGATGCAGGCCATGATGGCAGCAGTGCATTGTGTGCAGAGGAAGGATCACGTGGTGAGCCAGGCTGGAGAGAGGCTGGGTCCAGCTCAGGGCTTTGTAACCAACCACCTCTCTTTCAAGAACTGCATTCCCTAGGCAACGCCGATGATCTGAGGGTCTCCCACGAGAGCCACCTCTTACACAGCACATTTAGATGAAGTTTCCACTCTCTGAGTATCATTAACTTATAGCCTTGGGGTTCAAATGTCCTTTGTTCCATATGCCTGTGTTTATGCTAGTACTATCCTGCTGTTTGACTACTGTAGCTTTGTAATATGTTTTGAAGCTAAAAGTATGAGGCCTCTAGCATTGCTTTTCTTTTTCAAGTTTTGTGACTACTTGGGATCTTTTGAGATTTCATGAGTTTAAAGATTTTTCTCTTACTACAAAAGAATGCCAGTAAGATTTTGACAGAGATTGTTTTGAATCTGTAGATTGCTTTGGGTAGCATGAACTTTTTGATAATATTAAATTTGCCAGTCATTCCAGAGACATGGAATGTGTTTTGATTTTTTTGTGTCTTATTTAATTTCCTTTAGCAATATCTTGTCGTTTTCAGTGTACAAGTCCTTCACCAAGTTAATTAAGTTTATTCCTTAGTATTTTATTCTTTTTGATGCTGTTGGAAATGAGATTTTCTTAATTTTCATTTTATATTATTAATCGTTAATGTATAGTGCCTTTTCTAGGGTTTAATTTTAATTCTCATTTACTGCATATTTTTGAGTTATTTTATTACACTGAACATCTTGAAACATCTTTAAATATTAATTGTTAACAGTACAGATGGGACTGGCGCTGTGGCTTAGTAGGTTAAAGCCCTGGCCTGAAGTGCCGGCATCCCATATGAGCACTGGTTCAAGTCCCGGCTGCTCCACTTCCGATCCAGCTCCC